CAGACTCAATCTACCAACCAAACCCTAACCATCAACATTCCCACAGTTCATCATCGCCCTCGCCCTCCTCGCCGTGGTAGTCGCCGAGCCGCCCAGGTACCGCCAGCCGCAGAGACAGTACTACTTCGCCAGACAACAGGAGGAGACCACCACCGTAGCTGATGCGCCCTACGCGCCGTCCAACTGGAGGCCAGCTGGACCAGCCTTCAACCTGCCCCAGAGGAGTCCGCAGGCAGCGAGACAGTACGGAGCACCAGCAGCTCCTCAGAATCAATATGGAGCCCCAGCAGCTCCTCAGAATCAGTATGGAGCCCCAGCAGCTCCTCAGAATCAGTATGGAGCCCCAGCAGCTCCTCAGCAGCAGTATGGAGCCCCAGCAGCTCCTCAGAGGCAATATGGGGCGCCATCTCAGCCCCAGGGACAGTATGGAGCACCAACCGTGCCTCAGCAGCAGTATGGCCCCCCGCAGGAGGCCACCACCACTGAGGTGCCCAATACCACCGAGGAGGAGGACGCTACCACTGTTGCCAGTGTCACTGAGTCTGAGGTGAGTTGGGTTTTATGGGGGTTGTGGGTGATTGCTGGGGAATGAGGGTGACTGCTGGGAAATGAGGATGGGAGTTTTGACAATTTGCATTGGGTAATTTTTAGTTAGTAGAGTTGTCGTGAGGAAATTTTTTTATAATAGTCATTGTTATTATTTTTTTATGTTTGTTTCTGTTTGTGGTAATTGATAGTTGTTGATGATTTCATTTATGAGAGAATTACTTGGAAACTATTTAATGTATTGAAATTTTTATTGGAATGTAGTTTCAGGCAATCGTTAGTTATCGTATTTTTAATAGTATTAGTAAATGACAACAAAATTTTTAATGAGGTATAATTCTATTCAGTACTAGTGCGATGTTAAAGTTTCTTATTTTTCACTTTTATCAATTGGAAGTACTGCTAATTGATTAGCGAGGTTTTTCTGATTAAAATGAGCCCAAACACGGCGTATTTTGGAACACGTTTGCATATTTCGAAAAATAACATAACCTATTTTTTTTGGAAAATTGTGATTTAAAGTATGTAATATTTGGGCTCATTTCAATCAACAGAATCTCACAGACACCTTGGCAAAAATTTCAGTTCAAAGAAATCCCTCACAAAAGGTTTCATAATTGCTTTTATATAATACATTATAATATTATTATTATTATTAAATCGAGACGTGGAAATATTGAAAGTATGTCATGTTTGGGCTCGTTTCAATCAGAAAAATCTCCCAAACACCTTAGTAAAAATTCCCTCCACAAAACAGTCTGATAATTGCATTAACATTACTATTGTTGTAACTCATCCCACAGACAGGATACCAATCGCGCGAGTAACGTACAACGGAATTCCGACTCGCGTCTCCTCTCGTTTTCGTTCCTCTTGTTTCCCCGTTCTTATTTGGTGGTCTTAACGACATTAGTATTCATGTCTCCGTTTACTTTCGATCACTGTGCAGGCACGCGTGCGCCCCAACCGAATTCGAAGCCGGCGTGACACAATCTGTAACGCAGTCAGCCGTGGCTCGAGTATCGGGGCCGTTCACGAGGCTCGTGATCTTTTTTCGAGCGGTTTTAAAAATCGAGCGATCACTTAATTGCTCCCTTTCTTCTACCACCGATCTCGTCCCTTTTCTTCCGCGGGGCTAATTAAGTTCTTTCTTTCCGTTCATCTATTCAATCCTCATCAGTGACGCGAAAGATTGTGATCTAACGACGATTATGGATTATATCTGCCGATCAGATTTTCAGGTGGCTTTGTGTTGCCTGTCGCGTAGATCTTTTCTTTGATACTGGAACTACCGAGCGTTTAATACGATTAACGTGTAATTACTACGAAAATTGGAATAATTGGTTATTTTCAGTTTTTGATGACTTTTTTTGATTTATCGATTTATTGATTTATTTATTTTTAAGATTATTTTGAGTATTCTGTGTTTTTAACACATTTGCATCAGTAATACTTATTATTATTAATTATTATTATTATTATTATTATTAATTATCATCATCATCATCATCATCATCATCATCATCATCATCATCATCATTGTTATTATTATTATTATTATTATTATTAATTATTAAACCATATTAAAATTTTTAAAGAAACTGATTTGGAAATACTTGAATTGCTATATAAAAGAATTGAAAGTTTAATGACTATCAGATGGGTCAAAATGAGATAGTTGATTTGTTTTTTTGTAGTTATTGCAAAGGCACAGATGTTTTTTTGAGAAATTATTAAGGAGGCTGATTTTGTAATCCTGAAATTGATGTATACGAGAATTGAGATCGTTTAAATTTTTTCAATTCTTAGTCCCTGCAGTAAAATTTAAGCGAGTAGAAGCACAGGGAGAAGATATTTCCTTCCAACTGACTCGAGTATAGCCTGAGAAACGCAGAGAATCGATATAGTGAGTAGAAGTGGGATAGATAGTCGGTTGAGTATAAATATGAAATGAAAAAATTTCAATTGGTAATTTTAACGATACGTTTCCAAATATAGTGACAGTGAGTTGCTGAGATCGTGCTGATTAAAATGAGTCCAAACACGATGGAAATCGGACTAGATTTACGGAATTGATGCAATTAACGAAATTAAAGGCTAGTTTCCATGAACTCGAGAAACTAGTCCGATTCCTATCATGTTTGGGCTCATTTTAATCGGAAGAATCTCAACATTCCATTGGTACCATGATTGAGAAGGTTAAATATGTAACCAAGAAAATTTCAATTGCAGTAATTTTAATCATACCTTCTCAAATACAGCAGCAGTGAATTTCTGAGATCGTGCTAATTGAAATGAGTCCAAATCCGACACGAATCGGACTAGATTTACAATATTGTTGCAATTAACGTAACTAAAGGCTAGTTTCCATGAAATCCATGAAACTTATCCGATCCCTATCGTGTTTGTACTCATTTTAATCAGGACGATCTCTGCAATCCATTGGTACCATTATTGAGAATGTCTTGATAGGTCTCGATGATTACGAATCACGCAATGAAGATGATCATGCTTTATCCACTCGAGGCTCTACACACTTCAAACCCCTTCCTCAAAAGATTAATTTTCCTCATTAAACCAGTCCACTGTACACAATCTCAAAAATAACAGCTAACAATTTCTCTCCCCAGTCCGAGCCCGTAAACTCCGTCAACGAGCTCGAGGACGAAGAGGTGGACGAGCAACAGCCCCAGCAGTCCGGCGAGTACTACATCGCGCTGCCTGACGGCCGCCTGCAACGCGTGCAGTACGTCAGCCGCCAAGACGTCGAGGCGATGAAGTACTTCGCGAAGATCCGCGCCGAGAACGTGGAGCCTCTCCGCGGACCGATCTACGCGTACGCGCCGCTGCAGAAGCTACAGATAGTGCCCGCCAGTCTGCAAGTGTCCGTCGCGCCCGTCGCGCCGATCGCGGCCGCCCCCGTCGTCGAGTCGAAACCGCAAAAACTCGAGATCAAACCGGTCGCCGCCCAAGTGCAGTACCAATACGACAACCCGGCCAGCGTGATCCCGTTAGCCGCCGCCAACCCGGTCAGCTCCTCTTACACTACCTACACTACCAATTACCAGGTGCCAGCCGGCGAGTCTAGATACATTCTCTCTGTACAGTAGAGATTCGAAGGTGATAGAGGCTGGCTTGGTGCGGGGTTTTGCGGTTTTCGTGTGGGGTGGCTGGAAAGAAGGCGTCCGGTGGTTTGGAGATGTTTGATGATGTGTGACGATGTTTGAGAATTGTTTGAACTGTTTGATAAGGTTTGAGAACGGTTTGAATAGTTTGAAAATGTTTTGAAGTATGTTTGAACTGTTTGACAATGTTTGAAAATAAGTTTGAATTGTTTAAAAACGCTATAAAACAGTTTGAACAATTTTAAAACGTTTTGCAATAAGTTTGAATTGTTTGACAATGTTTTAAAATAAGTTCGAATTATTTGACAATGTTTGCAAACAAGTTCGAATTATTTGACAATGTTTGCAAACAAGTTCGAATTATTTGATAATGTTTACAAACAAGTTTAACTCGTTTGAAAACGTTTGAAATAGAGTTTAGATTGTTTGACAATGTTTGAAAACATGTTTAAATCGTTTGAAAACGTTTGAAACTGAGTTTAAATTGTTTGACAATATTTGAGAACGTTTGAAACATAGTTTAAGTTATTTGACAATGTTTGAGAACGTTTGAAACATAGTTTAAATTGTTTGACAATGTTTGAGAACGTTTGAACAGATTTCCTCCACGTTAAAGAAAAAAGTTCTAAAACAGTTATCTTTGTCACATGTTAGTTACATCGAAGAAAGAAGTATGCTTGTCAACCACACGTACAAAAACCGTCAGTACTTTTGCACCAATGCGATGATTCATGTATTTATGTTGTAAATTTTCGATTGTTCTTATTGACGAGGACCGTGACAACGGCCTAAATTCATTAACATTTATTCACGTCGATTCGGTAGGTTAAGGACGAAAGTAACAATGAAATAACAATAAAAATGAAAATAAAATGATTGTCATTGAATATATCGTGCACTTGTTTTTCTTTTGAGATTTATTTGAGTAATTTGCAACATTAGAACTACAAACTAAAAATAATCAATTAATTAAACCCAGTTTGCATTTAACAATAATTTGTTGTCTTTTCAATAATTTTCAAGAAGAAGAAATCAAGAAAAATCATTTTGACCTGGCTGGCAGTTCTAGTATTAATATTAGTGATACATTAGAACAATTAGAAAATTTTAATTGAATGTAGGATTTTGGGATTCAATTATCTATTTTGTAAAATTAATTGAACTGTAACTGTTTTTTGGGTTAGGTTTAAGGAATTTGTAGTTCAAGTTCCATTGTTTCAACCTTTTTGATGATATTTCATTAATTTGTCTTAATCTATGCTTTCAATAAGTAAATTATTTTCTATTTTTTAATGAGAATATAGAAAATAGGTTTCTATTATATTGTATATAAGAGAAATTTTAAACAATTTATATTTCTCAAGAGAAAATAATTTAATTAATTAACACAAGAATTCTGCTTGTACATAATTATGAATAATTTTAAGAAAAACTTAGTGGGAAGAGAACCTCGCAGCTGAGACTTAAGATAGTGTAATTCTAATTATTCTAATCAGAATGTTAATTACTTAAATAAAAAACTTTGAATGATACTACACCTGTATTCTTAATTTAGAATCATAATATTGAAAATTAAATTGATTATTCGTCTTATTAAAATTGAGAAATATTCTAATTTCTATAAAATTTA